CGTATCAATGCTACGGAAGTACGTGGCAGATCCTTCCCATGTGATACAACCGCAGGAATTGGAGTTCACCAGCGCTATGCGTTTTCGGGACGAACCACTACAGATCGTGGACCGGAAAGTCAAGAAGCTGCGAACCAAGGAAATACCGCTCGTCAAAGTGGTATGGAGATCTCAAGGGGTTTCCGACATGACATGGGAACCCGAGGCGGAAATGCGTGATACTTATCCCCATCTGTTTGTTTAAATGTTGTAAACGTCCGAACAAGCGAGACTGTACTGTAATAAACCTTTATGGAATTTAAGGAAGGCTTTCGAATGGATGTTAAGCAATTCAGAATTCGAGGACGAATTCATTTTAAGGGGGGAGGATTTATAATACCCCGATTCTTGAATAATTTATTTAAATTAACTCCGGGAATAAAATAGGGTAAGAAAAGTCTAAAATATAAGGTGATTGACATAAGATTCGAACCAAGGGATCAACGGGACTCGAATGCGTCGAAAACGTCGAAAAAACAAAGGAAATAGGGCGTAGACCGATCGGTCCAGAGGTAGACCGACCGGTCTAACGAAAGACGGAGAAAAAGACGAAAAAACAAGTACAAAACGGACGGACCACAAGGTGGAACAGACGGACTGCCGTTCGCGAAGCGGAACGGACGGTCCAGGAGGTAGAACGGATGGACTGCCCGTTCGCAAAGCGGAACGGACGGACCAGCGGGTAGAACGGACGGACTGCACGTTCGCGAAGCAGAACGGACGGTCCAACATCAGAACGGACGGTCTGAGGGTTTGGGAAAAAGTCGCCGAAAATTCTGACTTTCTTCCATTGTCGGCCGCGATTTTCTCGCGACACACCGACCCCACGCGTGAACGAACGCCACCCAGACGCAGTGGACGACACCCTCTGGCCCTCCTACCCTCTCCCTAGCTCCTATGGCGGCGTTAGAGGTCGATTTAACCGGCTCCAACAGGTGAAGATCGCCATTCTGCAACCCAGAACCTGTTCTTCGAAAACAGAGGAAAATAGAGAGATTCAGGGAGATTTGAGGCGGAGCAAGTTCGGGAAATCAAAGTAGGACATCCCAAGGAGGTTCTTGGAAAGTTTCACAACCAAAGACGGCCTGAAGAACACACACGAGCTCGGACAAAAACGCACAGCACTTGAATCCGAGGTGAGTGGTTTGGATTGTGTTTGTGAGATTCTATTTCTCATGATTTATGGTGTAGACTAGTGATTCTGCAAGAGTTAAGCACCTAGGTATGTTAAATATTGAGTGAGTAACAATTAAATCTTAAATCAGATTAGAATTTGGGCAAAAATGGCGAAAAATTGGACTGAACTCGTGAAGAAGACGAAGATCTGGGTCCCAGACCGTCCGGTCTACGACGTAGACCGTCCGTTCTGGGACACAGCAGAACGAACGTGAATGAACAAACTGGAACGACTGATTCAATAGAACCCGGAACGTCCGGTCTAGAAATTAACGGAGAACGGACGGTCTAGTTATCTGGACCGCCCGTTCTAGACCTGGTAGAACGGACGGTCCAAAGTAAACCGGACAAGTATGTTAAACCGGACAAGGAATTAAGAAGTGATTCAATGGAAAACTAAGGAACAAGTATGTTAAAGGATTATATAAACATGGAATAACAAAAGATAGGATGATTAAACCAAAAACCTTTGTGGGTATCAAGGATTAATCCAGGAGGAAAACTGGAGGATAATAATAAGGAAATAAGATGGTAAATAATTTTGTGTGGATGGATGCATGTGATTGAATGACTAAGGAACCCCGTACTTAGTACCGGTTGACGGCGTGAGTCAGTACTAGTATGGGGATGTGTGGATATTGAACCAGTGCCGGTTGACGAACTTGGAGTCAGCACTGGGTGGTGTGTGGTTTCGGTAATAGTACCGGTTGACGAACTGGGAGTCAGTACTATTACCGAAATGGAATACCAGTACCGGTTGACGATGTGGAGTCAGTACTGGTATAGTTGGGTGGACACTTCTGAAACGGTACCGGTTGACGAATTTGGAGTCAGTACCGTTAAGAAATGTATAGTGAAGCCAGTACCGGTTGACGGCGTGGAGTTAGTACTGGTGGATCTGAGTGGTCGTCTTTATAATAGTACCGGTTGACGAAGTGGAGTCAGTACTATTATAGGGAAGCGGGGTAAAGTCTAGTACCGGTAGACGAATTGAGTCAGTACTAGATGATACCGAAAGGAACGGTATCTGATAGTGCCGGTGGACGACTTGAGTCAGTACTATCAGGTATCGGAAAAATGTGTGAAATAATGTTAAAGTGTTAAAAAGATAAATGAGGAAGGATTAAACGGATTAAAAGAATTCTTGTATTGAGAGATTAGTTGGCACCGTTCTCCATGAGAATGGGCTCTCCGGGCTCAATCCGAGCCATTCACTAAGCATTATGCTTAGCCCTCTGTTGTTGAATTTTTCAGATCCCGAGGAGTACGAGTAGCGCACTTGCGACGACGACAACTTGGGAACGGTGACATCATGTACGGACATTTTATCTTTCGTGTGTTTTGGACTGTGGAACATGGTTCCATGTGAAAACGGTTGTGTTTAAATTACGTTTTTGGACATGTGTTGTTTTAAAAGACGTGTGATGTGTGTTATTTCCGCTGCGTACTTTTATGTAAAAATGATTTTTAATTCCCGTACTTTCGGTTTTATTATATTTTATTGGT